GGTATCTAGTGATGGGCAATACTTTAAATAAAATGTTTGTTTTCCTTATATTTTAAATTTAAGATTAGGTCAAAACGTAGTTCAAATTTTAAACAAAATAAGATAAATAAAAGGCATTAAATTACGAACGCAAGATGTAAGCATGTTCATACTGTCATCAACATACTGTTCTTGACTTTTATTGTATACTCTTCAATTTTTCCATTTCCTGTATCTGCTCCGCAAACTATTGTTAACACAGAATCGGGAAATTTTGTGCGCAATAATTTACATCGCGGATTCTCACTCAGTTTGACGTATTGATATACTATCCACTTAACTAACTACATTTTTGACTCGCTGCGAATCTGCGCCTTCAAACATTGGAGATGTTTTTTAAGAATTCTTCACATCAAAAAAATTGTATTGTGCGTTGACTATCGTTTATTTCTTATTGACTTATGTTTGCGAATATTAATATTTATTTATAACTCTCATTTCGTTTTATTACTGAAGATGGTCTGATTTAAGACCGAAACGTCTATTATATGTATATTAACTTTTTAAATATATATTTATTCGCTGCTTACATCTTGCGTTCGTAGTTTAATGCCTTTTATTTATCTTATTTTGTTTTAAATTTAAGTTTCTATTTTGTAAAAAAACAGCAAGAACTTATTCAAGGTCCTAATAAAATAAATACATATATTATAACATACTTTAAATTTACATACATTGCAAATAACTTGATTGTAAATATATCAAAATTTGCTCGTGCCACGAAAAATTCCATAAATATAGGCAAACAAAATATATACATTTTACATTTTTAAAAATCAGTTATGTATAAGTATTTTAAAACGATAATATTCGAAATGTAAGTTGCAAGAATCAATTTACAAATGTTAGGAGAAAAAAGGCCTAAGAAAGGAAAATTAAGTAGAACTTTTTTATTTGTTCGTTGGCACATGATAACGATGTCCTTCAAAGAGTACTCAGCTCCCTTTCCTAATATTATAAAATCCTGGCTATATTCATGTATATTTAAGAAATTAATATAAATACTAGCTGATTTCTCGAGCACCTCCGGACGGAGTCGCTATGTAAAATGTAGGCGTACCGGAATATCTACAAACAAAAATATTTTTACAGCGTTTCCATAAAAAAACCAAAACTTAATTTAATACAGACGAAAATGACATTAACTTCGCTTTCATATGTTGGATCGTTTTGTCAACCGCATCCTTTCTCAACAAAGTTACGGTGCAACCACCGAAGCCTGCGCCTGTCAAACGGCTTCCTAACACACCGTCCATTTCTCTAGCCGCCGAGACCAGCGAATCGAGTTCCTTAGACGAGACCTCGTAATCGTCGCGCAATGAATCGTGACTTTCATTCATTAAGCGCCCAAATTGCTGAAAGTCGCTTTTCTCAAGTGCCATCGCAGCGTTCACAGTTCGTTGAATTTCTGTGACTACGTGACGAGCCTTTTTCACAATGGACTCGGACGCATTTTGCGATATTAACGCTAAAAACACGTTAGTCTATTATATATACAGAAACAGTGGTAACTATGTTAATTTATTATTGATATTAAAATGTAATAAAATCGATACAAAATGTAATTATTCGTTTAAAATAAAATAAAATAAGATAAAATAAAAGAATAAGGTCAAGAATATCATAATATTAAAGAATACAAACATAACATTTAAAATTCTCTATTGTTACCTAAAATATCATTCATATTTGCATCTCTCAAACTCTTCTTGCCCAAGATTTTCGCGGCTTCGTAACAACAATCTCTACGCTCGCAATAGGCGCTCGAACTCAATTTGTGCGGTGTGTTCGAATCCGTTATGAGGAAAACGTAATTATCTAGATGCAGCATAGGTATTTGTTTAGTAATAAAATCGCGACAATCAAGCAAAAGAGCGTAGCCTTCTTTGCCCATGGTTGAGATAAACTGGTCCATTATACCGCATGGCACACCAGCGAAATCATGCTCTGCTTTTTGACACGCTAAAGCCTATGTATAATATGTAAATACACATATATACATGTAAATACACATATTTTACATTAATTGACATATTCTTTATTTGGGATTAATTAAAAATTGTATAAAATATAAGTAATTATTCATTTATAGCGGGTATGTAGATAAAAGAAAGAATGAATAAATACGGATAAAAATTTCAGAATATAAAAAATCTCTTCAAAATTGTTGCCTCCAAAAGATTTTCACAAAGAAACTAATCAAATTTTAGAAAATGAATCTTGAGAATTCGTTTTTGTACGTATATCGCACAGTTATCATTACTTTTCGCAATTGTTGGGATAGTATAAATATTTCAACAGTTAATCAATTATCTGTCAATTTGGTTATTAATGCGTCGATGAATAAATATTTTATTTCAATAAATTTTAATGTATCTTTATATCATGCTGCTCAGCTTAAAATGATATTATCACCAATTGTTAGTTCTTTAAAGAATTATATATAAGTTTATATACACATAAGTGTATGTATACTTATATACATTACCTAATACCACATTATATTATTATGTTACTACTGTTAGAAAAAAGCAGTATGATCGCTAGAAGAACATAGTTACCTTTAGTTCTGGTTTCTCCGGTTTTTTCCCGCTCAAGGTCTCCAAGAAGGTATAAGTCGCTACCTCTAGAGCTGCAGAACTACTAAGCCCGGCGCCTGCTGGTACAGTCGATACGATTACAGCATTGAACGCGGGGACGTCACCTAAAATAATAATGTATTAATCGATTTGCGTTTTATAAACTGTCTTACAACTAATGACACAGGATTTAAATTTAATTTTCTTAGCGTTTCTTAAACGTTTCTTAAAGATTTAATTGATTTCGAGCTTCTGAATAAATTACGTGTAACGATCAAAATTGCGAATAACTTACAAATAAAATTGGCGATACATCCTTTTATATAGTTCGCCCATTTTGGTTCTCCCGGTTTTATATCAGCTCGACTCCCAGCTTCGAATTCGAACTCGTTTATATCGCCGACCACGTCACTCAAGGAAAGAATTCTGGTTTTTTTACCATCGTGAGATTTCCCAACTATCACCGTGACCATCGGCAGTGCCTGAGATAATTATTTCAAAATTATTAAATACTTCTTTAATAACAAATTATTGTTTTGCCGTTAAATGGCAGTAAAGTGTGATCAAATTATTCTAAATCTGTATTTGGTAATTTATATATAAATGAATTATGAAAATAACTACCATACCGTTTTTTTTTTATTAAGTACAAGAATCTCTGAAGCCATAGTATATTCGTTATCAATTAAACAGGACAAAAGAAAAAACTCTGAGAAAACTTTTTCAATTAATAAGAAAGAATGCAACGACGTGACGGCTTTTATGAATCGCGGATAATCAATAACGCGTATATTATTGCGTTACAAACACCAACATATTATTTTACTACGGCATTGAATTTCAAACGTGACGCATTTTAGTAGCGTTTAAATTATGTTAAAGTGACACGGAAGACAAACGTTTGATAAATAATAGCGAATTTAATCATTTGCATGCTGATCTACATGCTAAAAGCTTTTGCAAATATCATTTTATTGCAAAAATATTATACAAATATTTTGGCCGACAAAAAATAGTAAATGTTAATATTAGATTTGTTATTTTTAATTAAACTTCTTGTACGGTTCACTTTTCTTCTTTTCATTTAGAGAAAAAAAGAGAAAAGATGAACTGTGCAAGCTCAGTTAAAAGGAACAGACCTATTGTCATATGCACGCATGCACATACATACATGCGTAAAATTTATTTTAGCGAAACATATATTTTGGATATCTTATCAGTGCTTATATTATCTTATATTTCTGCAGTTTTATTTTGTAGTAATTTTTAAAGCGCACCACAGTAATACAAGCAATTAAATTCACTACAAATTTTATTTGTATTCTTTAGTTATATAACAGACAGTTCAGCACGCTGAAGAAAACACGATGTCACATGGCCTTAACATTTCGTTGGCGTAAGCTACAATTCTGTGTGTGATAACACAATGATGTAATAATTAATAATGATAATATTATAATCCACGCATAAATAATCGATTCTCACAAATTTAATTACAATTCGAAATTAAGATCAATTCCGAATTGTATTTAAATTTAATTGCGTTCTGCATTTTATACATTTAAAATATTTTAGGAAGAAGGAAAGAGTAAGAACAAAAGAATAAAGAAAGAAAAAAAGAGAAATAGAGAAAGAATAAAGAAAAAAAGAATAAAAAGCGTGATAAAGACTGATTTCGTTTCGAAGTAAAAGTTTTTTCTATTATTTTCTCTATTTCTTTTCTATTCTTTCTTTATACTTTCTGTGTGCTTTCTAAGCGCTATTTAGAACGAAATAAAATACGCGCGATTTAAGAGCGAATAAAGGGAACATGTGAAGAAATGTGAATGTTTTGTGTGCGATGCAAGAGATTTACTAAGATTTACCATCGGCAATACAAAACCGTCGTTATAGTCGGTGTGCTCGCCGATGAGATTAACACGCCCTGGAGCGTACACGCAAACAGCGGCCTGCTCGCCGAATTTCTCGGCGAAGGTCTGTAACGCTTTTTCCTTAACGCTATTCACGTGCGGGAGTAATGTCGCCATGCCGAAATATCTTCTAAACTTCACTCGAGATGCAATTGACGAAACAGAATCTACGACAGAAATGGAGATTAAGCGACGTGATGGATAACCACCGCGGCCAACAGTTGCGAAGATACTGATGCTAATATAAACTTTCTTACGGTGATTAGGGGACTGGAACGACGTTGTTTGTTATCAGCGCAATCTTCGGCTAAGTGCCTCAACGTAGAAACTTAAATACTGCAGCACGGTGCTCTATACCTGCAAGTGACATTATAAAATATTATTATATGACCCTTGTTACACAACGTCCTTGAGACAGTTTTTAGCACACGTGTTGTCTGGAATGGAAGATATAAATTATAATAACATAATAATATATAAAAAATAAAAATATATAAAATTTGTTAAAATTGTTAAAATTGAGAGTCTTAAGTACACACA